TTGTTATTTAATTATAATAACTTTATATTTTTTAATTATATAAAATTTCATTTATTAATAATAATATATTTTTATTATCCTTTTTTTAATAAATAATAATTTTAATTTAATACCATTTTTCTACTTACTTTGATATATTTTTTTTTATCAATTCTTTAATAAATTGTCTATAATATTTCTATTTTACTTTTTATATACTCTATTTTAATATTATAATATCATTAATTTTAGTGTTAGTGTCAAACTAAATCTGCGTAATATTACTTGGTGGAGGAAGTATTTTTTTTTTTTTTTTTTAGGAAATATTATATATATATATCAAAATATGAGTTATATCAAACTAAAACTAATCATTATTATTTAAATAGATTTATTTTATTCTTAAATTAAATCTAAAATTTATATTAAAATATTATCAGAATTTTGTATATGAATTTATTTTTTTTAAATGTATGTAGTATTAATTAGGGAAAAAAATCACAAATTGGCCATTGATATCAAAATTAATCAATTTTGATTTCATTATAAAAATGTCATGTATTTAATCCAAATTCTATAGAATTTTGTTAAACTTAAGTATATTCAATCCAAATTTTCAAAAATCTTTTAAAAGTTGAAAGTATTCAATCCAAATTTTTAAAAGTCCTTGAAATATGGAGATAAAGTATTCAATACAGACTTTTAAAATATCCAAGGTATTCAACAATTATAAACTTTCAAATTCTTTAGATTTTAATGAAAATTGTAAAAATTTTGTATAGTAGAGATTTCCAAGGATTTTTAAAATAATAATAATTATTATTATTGTTGATGTTGATGTTGTTATTATTGTATAAGTGATTAATAATATGATAACATTTATAAGTATTAATATATTTTTTTTAATAAAAATAATAATTTAAACCTAAAATATATTAGCAAATTATTATCAAATTTTCTGAAAATATATATTTTTATATTATATATATATTAAAAATATTATTAACATAATAAATATGTATTATTGTCGTCTTTTTTTTTTTTAATTATCGAATATAATATATTGTCATTCCGATGTCATTCTCCTTTTTCAATTATCGAATAGACTATATTGTCATTCCGGTGACAGTGAAAATATATATTTTTTGTTAAACTATTAATTTATATTTATCTACATTTTTATTTTAATATTTTTTTCAAAAAAATCGTAAATTATGTTTTTTATTTTATTTATATACACATTTTTTTATGTAAAAAAGTTATAATAATAATAAAATATAAATTTAATTTGATATATTGAATGATAATATAATACTGAAATTATAAAATAAAAAATAGTAATATACAATGTAATAGTGTTACTGTAATACCCGATACATAATCAAGTTGGCACATTAGATATGTTTGGTTAACTAAATATCTTAAAGTTATTATTATCAATATGTAAACTTCAAACAGCTTTATAATTTATAATTCAGGTCTGATTTTTATAAAATTTATGTCATTTGATAGGTTTTAAGTTAACTTTCCAACGCCGCAAACGGTGAGTCAATCCGAGTCCAAACTAAAAAGTTATAGCCAAAATAGTATTCGAATGTCTGTTGTATATTCAAATACGATTTCAAAAACTGTCAATGCCACTTTAACTCTATTTTTAAATATAAAATATAACTTTATCCCTTATATTTAACATTTATTTTATCCTTCAAACACTCCTAGAGAAACCCTAGTGTAGACAAAAAAATTGTGTTATATTTTTATAAACACAAAATTTGTACAAATTATATTTGTATTTAAATTTAATGCGGGTCCTATTCTCTATTCGGATCCTTTGATTCTCTCTCCGGGTCGATCCATTTTTCCAATTTGGATTTGGGTGGCTTCTTTGATCCGAAGGGATTTTGGTTTTCGGTTTGACTTCGCCGGCTTTTGAAGGACTTTGGTATCCATGTTGGCGATTTTGATCGTCGGCTTCGGATTGATGCCTCCTTTGGATGATCCGACGGAATTTGATCTTTGAGGGAGAGATTTAGTGCTCCATAACGCTTTTGGCGGCGTGTCCCTTTGACTTTTGGATCGAAGAGGGCCTGGTTTGCGCCTTTTATGAAGAACGCGACGAACATCTTCAAGCTTTGGGAGCGACTTTGGAGGCTCTTCCTTGGCTTTGATGGATTCCTCGATAGCTTTGAGAGATTTGATCCTTCCTCCGGCTCGGACATACGACGAAGAACGTTAACTTCATTGATTCGTCAACCAATATTGGATCATTTGTCCAAATCGGTGACTTTTCGACGAAGAACGCTTCGAAGGACACGAAGAACAATGAAGAACATTGCAGAGAGTCTAGAGAGACTTACCCTTGCGCGAGTCTTCAAATGAACTTCGGTGTCTAAATGAATTGGCCAAGGCTCCTATTTATAGGGGAGGGTGGCATTGGCTTCCTTTTCGGATGGTGCTACGTGGATGGAAAGATTTTATAATCTTTCCTTTTCCCTCGGATGCCGTTTTCCATTTTTGACGGATTTGATTATGCACCTTCCTTTCTCGTCAAAATCTTTGTATCATTGCCTTTTTTGGAAGATATTAATTTATATACTTCCTTTATTGACAAGATCTTTATATCATTGCCTTGTTTGGAAGATATTAATTTATATACTTCCTTTATTGACAAGATTAATTTATTTTGCTGCCAAATTTATTATGGCTCTATTTATGCACGTAATATTTGTACGATATCTTCCATTTTAAGCAGATTTTGCATTAATGGTTGATATTTATTGTACAAAAATTAACATATGTGCATAATTAAATACCATATATTTATTTTATTGGAATTTTATTTTCTTCCAAAATACATGATATTTAATTGATTTTAGACATATATTTTTAGTGTCTACAAAATGTCCCATCGAGACTTGTTTAAGCCGACGCAAAGCGTTTATGGCGTGAACGAGTCTCGAAACATAAGTCAATTTATTTTTTGACTGATTTTTTTTTTATGGCTATCTTTTTTTGATTTTTTTTTTCAGCCAATATTTTTTTAAAGGGTTTTTTTTCTTTTTTTTCCTTTTTTTTTTGGACGAGATTTTTTTTTTTCAATTGGTTTTTTTTTAAGCCCGATTTTTTGGACTTTTTTTTTTTTTGCCCAATTTATTTTTTAGGGCTTTTCTTTTCTTTTTTTTTTTTTTGCCCAATTTATTTTTTAGAGCTTTTCTTTTCTTTTTTTTTTTTGGCATAATTGACTGAACTCGGAGTTATATTCCAAGTTGCCTACGTATCCGGTTAAGAAATCAAGTCATAACGTAGTTCAAAACAAATTGAATTTGTTTGTTTTTGTTAAACAGTTTATTCTCGTATTAAGGAGTCTTGTTAGAAAGTTTATCCTCATTTCCAGGAGATTGCAGAAAGTTTATCCTCGTTTCCAGGAGATTCCCGGAGTTCTTTTGAAAGACGTCCGTTGCTGCGCTTTTGAGGAAGGCTATCAACATTGGCACCAAAGTACTTACTTGAAATCTTCAGCCGAAGTTATTCTTCCACGCATTCCTGCGATTCCGAGGGAATTTTCTTCCGACGTATACAAGGAGTGGTGGACTCAAGTTTGCGGGTCCTTCTTGGATAAGTATATCCCGTCGGTACAAAAGACCACCGATCAGACCAAGCCATCGGATAAAGCTCGAAAAATGCCGCTACTTATCTCGGGTGTTCCTGAGAGGAACAATGGAAATTCAAGTACTCACAATGTCGGTTCTTCAAAGCGGACGGTACCCTCGGTCTCTGAACGAAGCAGTAGTGAGCATGATGTTCATTGGAAGCGAGCTCGTCGAGATCCTCATATCATCAACCCATCAAGTCCTCGTTCGAGCCGACACCATTCTTCGAGCAATTTCGCGAAAGAGGTAACTTCTATCTCTCTTTTTTCTCTTTTTTTTTTTTTTTTTTGACATGATCCGTTTTTTTTTTTTTTTTATCCCCTTTTTCAGTTGGAGCAAAGAATCCCGAGTATGGATGAAAAGATGGCGAGCCGAGATTCTATTGTTGAGGTGATTGGAGAAAGCAGAGGTGTTTGCAATAAGCAAGTAAAGGATGCTCCAACCAAGCCAATAGTTGTTCATTCCGTTGTGCCCGCGGTTTCAGAATTCTGTGGCGCGAATTTTGTGAAAGAGATCCAACGCGAATATATAGGAAAAGTATGGTCGGATCTTCGGGGTAAGCTTTTGAGGACACCAGCTCGTTTGCTTTCCTCGATTAAGGACGAGGTTGATTTAGTGCTCCAATCAATGAAAAACTTTCAGTATTCTGACATTTCTCATATTGAGGACCGAGTCAAGGCCCTTTTTGATGACGCTGCATCTTTTGATGAGGCATGTTCTGACTCGATCGACGCCGTATCCTTAGCGGCTCGTAACCAACAGATTTCCGAGATCAAAGATCGACTGTCGCACCTTGAGACGAGGCATGTTGAGGAGTGCGAAGCTATTAAGGAGTTAGAGGGGTGTGTGGAGAATATTGACGTGAAGCTTCGCTCTTTACAAGAGCAAAAAAGAGAGAATATTTCCCTTATTAAGCGACGTCAAGGAGTTAATGAGAATATCACCATTCAAATTGCTGAAGTCAAGGATGAACTCGCCGCTGTAGAGAATGTCCCCGCGCAAGACGAAGAATACTTAAAAAGCTTAGAAGAGTTGTTGGATATTAGCAAAGAAGAGTTGTATAATCTTAATGTTTAAGATCAATTTGTACTCTTCATTTTGATTGCCAATCAATAAATTTAAATTCTCTCTTCTTTTTTTTTTATATATATATATTTTTTTTGAGCATTTTTTTTTTTTTACCCAAATCCTTTATCACTTATTTATTTATTTCTTTATTTATTTGACTGAACTTGAAGGTATATCTCAAGCTGCCTACGTACCCGGTAAAGGGATCAAGTCATAACGTAGTTCAAAGCAACTTGAATTTGCTTTTATTGTTATTTTGCAGTTTATCCTCATGCTAAGGAGTCTTGATTTGATTTGAAGGTCTCACGCATAATATCTTTTGAGGAACCTCCCGTTGATTGGCCCTATCCGGAATCCGTCTTGAGATGTCAACTTGTATGCACCATTCGTGTAAACCTGAGTGACGACGTAGGGTCCATCCCACTTGGATAAAAATTTATTTCCCGAACGAAAGTTGATCACAATGGGCCTTCTCACAGCAAGAACCAAGTCCCCGATTTGAAAGGATCGTGATTTGACTTTTTTATTGTAAGTTCGAGACAATCGTGCTTGATAACACTCCAGTCTTTGTTGAGCTTGTAGTCTTTTCTCGTCGAGAGCCTCTAGCTCTTCGAGTCTTAATCTGACATTTTCTTCGGTCGTCAATTCTTCCTGGAGAGCGATCCTTAGTGAAGGAATTTGTCTTTCCAATGGGAGGACAGCTTCGACCCCATATACAAGTGAGTATGGTGTCGCTTGTGTTGGAGTGCGGAATGTAGTACGATAGGCCCACAAAGCTTCACCAATGCGGTCATGCCAATCTCTTTTTGATTTGGAGACAACCTTTTTCAGCAAGTTACAAAGTGTTTTATTGAATGCCTCTGCGAGTCCATTTGCCGGTGCATAATACATTGAGGACTTCTTTTGTTGAAAGCCAAACTTTTCACAAAGCTTGTCGATGTGAGTATTGGCAAAAGATCTTCCATTATCAGTGATGATACACCGAGGAACTCCATAACGGTAAATGATGTTGACTCGTATGAAGTCAGCTACCGTCTCCTTTTTGACTTCTTTCAAAGGAACTGCTTCTGCCCATTTGGAGAAGTAGTCTGTTGCGGCCAAGATATAGAGATGTCCAGCGGACGACTTTGTGAGTGGTCCTACAACGTCCATGCCCCAGGTATCGAATGGCCACGAAGCAATAGTTGGGTGCAATGGTTCCGGTGGTTGATTGATAAAGTTAGCATGGAATTGACACGGTTGGCAGCTCCGTGCGAATTCTATACAGTCTTTAACCATGGTTGGCCAATAATACCCCATCCTCTTTATTCGGAAGTGTAACTTTGGGCCAGCTTGATGAGCTCCACAGATTCCGGCATGAGTTTCCTCCATAGCTTGTTTGGCTTGATGATTGCCGAGGCATCGAAGGAACATGTTCTCGAACGACCGACGATAGAGTATGCCGTTGAAGTAGGCGTAGCGTGCAGCTCTTCTTCGGATATCTGCTCGTCTGCGCGGGTCACTCGGGAGCTTGTCATATTTTAAGAAATCTAACATTGGTTGCCGCCAATCTTCTTCTTCTTCTTCAATTTCAAACACCTCGATGAGGTGATTTACTTCTTTTTCAACACATTCTTCTTCTTCATACTTGCAGGAATCCACCCAAACTTTGCGTATCGGAATATACACCTGTTGATCCGGGATGGATAGAGTCGATGCCAATTTAGCCAGAGCGTCAGCTTGCCCATTCTCTTTCCTTGGGACATATTCAATAGAGACATCCCCGAGTAACTCAATGAGTGCCTTAGCATACTTTAAGTAAGGCATTAGTTCTGGTTTCTTCACTTCAAACTCTCCAGTGATTTGATTTACAACCAGCTTGGAATCCCCGTATACTTGAAGTTGGCGTTGCTTGATATCTACCGCCATTTTTAGGCCGAGGATGAGTGCTTGATACTCAGCCACATTATTTGAACACTTTTCTTTTAAGGCAAAAGAGTATGGAAGGACTTCTCCTTGTGATGTGACAAATATTACTCCGGCTCCAGCTCCATTTTTGTGTGATGAGCCGTCAAAATACATTTTCCATGGTGGGGTGATTTCGAGAAAAAGCGCGTCTTCATCAGGGAAGTCGTCAGACAACTCCCACTCAGCGGGGATGGGATGATCAGCAAGGAAGTCAGCCAATATTTGTCCTTTTACAGCTTTCTGTGGTACATATATGATTTCGAATTGTTGCAGCTGCAGGTACCACCTCGCGAGTCGATCAGAAAGGACAGGCTTTGACATGACATATTTCAAGGGATTTGCTTTGGACACCAACCGGATAGTGTGCGCTTGGAAGTAATGCTTCAACTTTTTTATGGCGAAGATGAGCGCCAAGCATATCTTTTCCACCGGTGAATAGTTTAGTTCATTTGGTGTCATCATTCTGCTGAGGTAGTAAAGGGCATTTTCTTTCCTTTTATTGGCTTCCTGTGCTAACAAGGCTCCAACTGAACGCTCTTGTGCAGCGATGTAAAGCGTCAACGGATGTTCAGGAATTGGGGCTGTCAGCACTGGTGGCTTTGTCAAGTAGTCTTTGATACTTTGGAATGCCTTCTTGCATGCTTCATCCCAATGGAAAGGCACTCCCTTCTTCATGATTCGGCTGAAAGGTTGACATCGTCCAGCGAGGTTAGAGATAAATCTTCTTATATATGCTAATTTTCCTTGTAAGCTTTTTAGCTCGTGGATGTTACGAGGCTCAGGCATTTTTGTGATGGCATCTATCTTTGCCTGTTCAATCTCAATTCCACGACTATGGACAATGAATCCGAGGAATTTTCCGGAGGTGACTCCAAAAGCGCACTTGAGAGGATTCATTTTTAATTGGTAGCGCCTCAACCTTTCAAAAACCTTTCTTAAGTCTTGCAGGTGATCTTCTTTTCTCTTGGATTTGACAACCAAGTCGTCAACATAGCACTCTACATTTTTGTGTAGCATGTCATCAAAGATCTTTTGCATTGCTCTTTGGTAGGTTGCCCCAGCATTTTTCAATCCGAAAGGCATAACTTTGTAACAGTAGATACCTTTCGGTGTACGAAAGGCGGTTAACTCTTCGTCTTCAGGTGCCATACGAATTTGGTTATATCCAGATGATCCATCCATAAAAGAAAGCGCTTCATGTCCTGTCGTTGCATCAATCATCAATTCAGTTATGGGTAAAGGAAAATCATCTTTTGGGCATGCTTCGTTTAAATCTCGGAAATCCACACAAACTCGGATTTGTCCATTCTTTTTCTTTACAGGCACGATGTTGGAAATCCATTGGGGGTATTTGACTTCCCGGATGAACCCCACTTCAATGAGTTTGTTGACTTCATTTTCAATTTGAGGGATGAGTTCAGGACGGAATCTTCGTTGCGCTTGCTTCACAGAGCGAGCTCCTTTCTTCACACCTAGATGGTGGACCGCAACTTTCGGGTCTAAGCCGGGCATTTCTTTATATGACCAAGCGAAGACATCTTGGAATTCGTTGAGAAGTCGGATGTAGGCATTCATATCATCCTCACCCAGCTCTTTGTTGACATAGACAGGTCTTAGGTGATCTTCATTTCCCAAGTTGACTTCTTCTAACTCGTCCACTGCAGCTTTGATCCCTTCTTCAAGCGCGGCGGGTGCATTTCCTGCATCTTCTTCAATCATTGTTTCTTCTCCCCCTTCAGTGATGTAGCAGGATGATGCAACACTTTCTTCATTATCTTCTTTGGGTTTGGTGAAGACAACGGTTTGCTATTTAGCCTTTAAAACTTTACCGCAATGTATCGTCATTTTTGTTTGACGCGTCATGCGGGATGGAAAGCGGCTCTTGATTTCTTCATCCATCTCCACATATTTTGTTGATGTGGAATTCGTCTTGTTTTTCTCTTTATTGATCTTTGGTCCTAACCTTGTGAAGACAGAAGGTTTTAGCCTCTCGAAAACCGATACTCTTGCATTCTTCCCCTTTTGAGGTGAATTGGAAGACAATGTCTCGCTTTCGGTGATATGATGATTTGCAGCCCTTTTGATAGCGATGCGTACGGGAGCTTGTGGCATGTACCCAAGACCAGCCCTCGAACCTTGGGTTGTCTGTGGTGGTAACCTTCCCAGCAGTGATTCCTCATTTGGATTATATCCAGCTTTTGTGAGAAGTTTGTAGGCTTTTGGGCCAAAGCTTTTGTCCTTTTGCAATCGCATAGCCTCTATTTTTTCTTCTTTTCCATTCCTTGTCTGTGATGGGGAGATTGGGTTGAGTGGGGTCTTCGGAAGAGTCAAATCTTTCAGAGGCTCAACTAATGAGTCTGCAGAACCTGAGGCAAGTGTTTTTTCTTTATCTCTTAAGTTTGCCCCCAAGTTTGGTTGTGGTGCTTTGACATCTTCATGTACCTTGGATTTTTTTGCTTCTGTAGAGAAATATTTGGCGTCCGCAAAGTGTGACTCGGCTTCTTCATATGGCTTTGTGTCTCCAAGAACTTTCTTTGTCATTCCATTTTGAGTGTATTTGAAGCATTGGTGCCACGTTGATGGAACTACACCATTCTCATGTATCCATGGTCTTCCCAAAAGAACGTTGAAAGATGTCTTTGCGTCTATCACGTAGAACAAAGGGTTAGTTTCCATTTCATCGATTAAGAGTCTCAATCTTATGGTGCCAAGTGCTCTTTGCCCCTCTTGATTGTATCCATGTATTGTCATACGACTCTCGAACAACTGATCTACTGGTATTCCCAATTTTTGCAATGTGTATAGAGGAAGGACATTGACTGCAGCTCCTCCGTCTAAGAATATCCGGTTAATCCTTTGTTCATGGATATAACCCACGACCAGTAATGGACGATTATGGGGTTTGGATCCTAACACCAAATCTTCATCAATGAAAGTTATCGTGGCACATTCTTCACTCGATTTGTCTCTGATCGCCTTGCCACCTTTCTCGGTAGTGAGACAATATGATTCTTTGTCTTTTATGTCAACTTCGAGAGACCCGAACGTGATTGAAGTGACATTAACAGAAACAGAATCGTCTTCAAGGGTGATCTTTCCTTCATGAGCCAACTCCATGACTTTGTCTTTAAAGATGAAACAGTTATGGATGGGATGTCCTACGACACGATGGTATTTGCAATATCTTGGGTCATCAACCTTTCCAGCTTCCTCCGGTCTTTTTGAATTCGGAAGTTCAATGAGGTTTTCTCTGAGTAGATCGTCAAAGATTCCCGAGACATCAGAATCCAGGAAAGGATAAGTTTTGGATTGCAACTCTTTAAGGGTTGGCCTTGGCGGTCTTTCTGTCTGAGTTGATTGTCTTTTCCTTGCAACTTCCTTTTCTTTACTTTGGATCTTCATAGGTGCTTTGGTCGTCGCTTTTATGGCCAAGGCTTCTTTTCCAAAAGACTTGATAGGGGCGTTGTTCCCCTTCTTTGCGGCATCATATCTTTCGTATCTTTTTGCTTTTGAAGATTCTTGAACTGGTGGTCCGTGCATCCCGCTTGAAGCCATACTTAACTCCATGTCATGAGCGCGGGTAGCAAGTTCTTCGAAAGTGTGGGGTCGGATCCCTTGCAGGATGTATTTCAACCCCCAGTGCATTCCTTGGACGCACATCTCTATACCGGAGGCCTCAGACAACCGGTCTTTGCAGTTCAAGCTCAAACTCCTCCAGCGGTTGATGTAGTCGATTGCTGGTTCATCTTTCCATTGACGAGTATTGGTGAGTTCTGTCATACTGACGGTCCTTTTTGTGCTGTAGAACCGGTTCAAGAACTCGTACTCCAACTGCTCCCAACTGTCGATGGAACCAGCCTCCAGGTCGATATACCAGTCGAAGGCGTTGCCTTTTAATGACCGTACGAACTGCTTTACCAAGAGATCGCCATATGTCCCAGCGTTGTTGCATGTTTCCATGAAGTGTGCCACATGCTGTTTTGGGTTGCCTTTGCCATCAAATTGTTGGAACTTTGGTGGTTGATATCCCAACGGCATCTTGAGGGCGTCGATCCTTGAAGTGTAAGGCTTGGCATACATATTTGTTGGCCTTGAACTTCCTTCAAACTCCCTTTTGAGAGCTCCTTTGATATACTCGTCAAGTTGGGATAGATGGATGAAAGAGTCAGATGATGCTTGAAACGGCATTAGTCCCGCCATTTTTTCTTTACCGTGGCGTTGATCCATGGATGTTTCTGCTTCATTTTGGGCCTCCGAAGCATTCTGGTTGGTTGGTTCCGGCTTGTCCAATTTTGCAAGTAGTTTTGCGATGACATTGTCTTGTTGCTGCATGTGTTGAGACATCCCTTCAACAACTTTGGCCAGTGCAACAAGTTGGTCTTCTAAGTTTGAGGCGTTCGTGGTCATCACTGGGGCATAACTCGATGCAGTCGAACGAGTTGCAACTTCTTGAGGGGTGCCCGGTGCGGAGGTACTCTTGAAGATTTCGTCCTCCTCATAGAGTGAGTTTTGCTCTGTGATTTTCGGATGGGCATCCTCGGAAAATGACAGTACTCTTTTAGCCATACTTCGTGTCATCACTCCAGCATTCATTGAAGCACTTGAGGTTCTTGATGTAGTAGCAGCGACTCCTTTGGCGGTGGCGGCTAGAGCAGTAGCTTTTGACACGGCATTGGAAGTCTTGATTTTGTAAGAAGCCATTGATCTTTTGAGAATTCGACGGAAAGAGAGATGAAACGTAGAGTCGTCCCACTGGGCGTGCCAAAAATCTGTAGACAAAAAAATTGTGTTATATTTTTATAAACACAAAATTTGTACAAATTATATTTGTATTTAAATTTAATGCGGGTCCTATTCTCTATTCGGATCCTTTGATTCTCTCTCCGGGTCGATCCATTTTTCCAATTTGGATTTGGGTGGCTTCTTTGATCCGAAGGGATTTTGGTTTTCGGTTTGACTTCGCCGGCTTTTGAAGGACTTTGGTATCCATGTTGGCGATTTTGATCGTCGGCTTCGGATTGATGCCTCCTTTGGATGATCCGACGGAATTTGATCTTTGAGGGAGAGATTTAGTGCTCCATAACGCTTTTGGCGGCGTGTCCCTTTGACTTTTGGATCGAAGAGGGCCTGGTTTGCGCCTTTTATGAAGAACGCGACGAACATCTTCAAGCTTTGGGAGCGACTTTGGAGGCTCTTCCTTGGCTTTGATGGATTCCTCGATAGCTTTGAGAGATTTGATCCTTCCTCCGGCTCGGACATACGACGAAGAACGTTAACTTCATTGATTCGTCAACCAATATTGGATCATTTGTCCAAATCGGTGACTTTTCGACGAAGAACGCTTCGAAGGACACGAAGAACAATGAAGAACATTGCAGAGAGTCTAGAGAGACTTACCCTTGCGCGAGTCTTCAAATGAACTTCGGTGTCTAAATGAATTGGCCAAGGCTCCTATTTATAGGGGAGGGTGGCATTGGCTTCCTTTTCGGATGGTGCTACGTGGATGGAAAGATTTTATAATCTTTCCTTTTCCCTCGGATGCCGTTTTCCATTTTTGACGGATTTGATTATGCACCTTCCTTTCTCGTCAAAATCTTTGTATCATTGCCTTTTTTGGAAGATATTAATTTATATACTTCCTTTATTGACAAGATCTTTATATCATTGCCTTGTTTGGAAGATATTAATTTATATACTTCCTTTATTGACAAGATTAATTTATTTTGCTGCCAAATTTATTATGGCTCTATTTATGCACGTAATATTTGTACGATATCTTCCATTTTAAGCAGATTTTGCATTAATGGTTGATATTTATTGTACAAAAATTAACATATGTGCATAATTAAATACCATATATTTATTTTATTGGAATTTTATTTTCTTCCAAAATACATGATATTTAATTGATTTTAGACATATATTTTTAGTGTCTACACCTAGCAATTACCTCATTCCCTCCTACTCAAGTTGAGGTGATTTTGGAGTAAGTTTTATACATTCTTCTTCTTCACCTTAAACTTCGATTTCATCGCATATGTGCATTATTTTAAGTTATTTCGTTTATTTAAATCACGGATTACTGTTTTCAAACCATATTCATATTCTTCATGATTTTATGTTCATTTTGACATATTATATGAGTTATTTGAAAGTCACATAAAGTTTATATGATTTTCTAAAGTTATACACTCATTTTCTTGACAGAAAAACATTACAAAGTGCTCGACGGATTTTTTGTAACTTTTAAATTTTATTTTCACACTTCTAATTTATTTAAATGTGTATATTTGTGTTACCTTTAATTAGAGACCAAGTTTGTTCCATTTGGATATAAAATGAATTTTATATAAATTTTTAAAGTAACACATTCTATTTCTTGACGAATGATCCATTTAGTATATTTAACTTCTATTCTATTCTTTTTGGAACTTCCTTTTTGGGTTTTTGATTAATTTTGAATATAGATATATATTTTATCTTTTATTAGAGACCAAGTTTGTCCCATTTGGGTGAAAAATAGATTTTTAGTGATTTTTATAATACAACTGCTCTATTTTTCCGAAGTGAACGGACCAGTTGACTTAAGATGATATTCTGGATGTAGTTCAAATTAATAATTCCAACTTTGGACTTTGAAATATAATTTAGGAATGTTAGCTTTGATTTGGCACTAGTTTCATAATGTTTGAGCCAACGATGAATTTATGGTGAATTTT